AGGTTTTTTAATTCTTGCTCTGAAGGAATTTCCTTTTATAATATTTGCTGTGCTCTTGCCCAAGCCAGGAAGTCGACTATCTATGGACAGCAGCGACCAAAATTTGGTTTTCCTGGAATTTTCCCTTCTTCCCTCCGCACACCCACACAATGGGCTTTTCAGGACGCCTGCAGTCTGTAATTTGCCCTTCCAGCCTGATAATGCGGCTGGCAGAGGCACCGCTTTCGCCAAGTCATCATCTGGAGGGAACGCTGCCTTGTGCAATGTTCCCTGTCCCCCCTGCAGCCACCCAGCCCAGTTCCTGCCCCTCGGAACCGCCGGGCAGACACTGGCACCGGGAGGAGCCTGGCAAGGCTGGGAAAGGGCCCCAAACTTTCAATTTCCGAAGACGCAGCCCAAAAACCAGAGGGACCAAGAACCCAGTGCTGTGGTTTCCCTCTGCCTGACTAAAGAAAATAGCAGCTATTTTTGTTAAAAATGTGGGACGTGAGGCCCTTCCCTTCCCCTGCTCGAGGGGGGGATGCTGCTCACCAGGAGAGAGTGGGGGGGGTCACCCCGGATTAAAACCAGCTGACTGGTCCACACAACTCTCTCCCATAGATTCCTCAAATATTTCTTGCCCACGCTATGGGAAGATTTATTTGTAAGGTGAGAGAAAGTTAGCTGGGAAAAGGGAACCTGATCTCACCTACAGAAATCCCCCTGTTTCATTTAAAGGCAGTGGGATCGATGTAATTCTCTGCCCCTTTCTCTTCTCTAGTCCTGCATCACCGTGGGCTTCTCGAGGCCTTCAGCAACACAAATCAACGCCCTGACATCATTAAAAGTTTGCAGTTTATCACAGAAATTACAGTAAATTAAAGCCACCTGCACAGGGGAGGAATGGGGATCCCAACGTGTGACTCCAGTGTGTGTGACCTCTGTGTTCACTGTCAGGAGGAGGATTCTGAACCTCCAAACCTCTGATCAAAAAGATGCTTTTCATTTTCAACGACCAAAAAAAAAAAAAAATCCTGAGCAGGGAGAACAAAGACTTTGGGTCTTGTCTTACTTAGAGGCTTATTAACTTTGTGTGTTTGTTCATTTAAAAGACTCTTCAGATGACAAGAAAGTACTAAATGTGTCAAAATGGCACATGGAGAAGTGACTTCAGGGGTGGGGGAGTAGCTGTTGTGGCACATCCCTCCTTTGGTTCTTTGTTCCTTGGCCTAAAACTACATGAGTGTATTTACAGAGGAATATTCCAGCAGGGCTGCTAAGAGGTGTCCAGCTGAGTCCCCTTTGTGTGGCCCTGCACCCTTTTGGGATGCAGGCTTTTGGATGCAGCTTCCATTGCTGTTTTCCCTTCAGAACAGAGTTCTGTGTGGAGTGGCTTCCTCCCCAGGAGTGCAGACTCCTGGTATTGCTGTGAGATGAATTTGGGGTTGTCTCCGTCTGCTCCCTCGTAAACCCGATCTCATCCTGCCAGCACTGCCCTGGGCAGCGATTCCAGGAGCGCAAGGCAGGCAGACTGGGCTGATTTCATCTACCCAGAGATGATGGTGGTCTGGAAGGTATTTCCCACCTCTCCCATTTGTGATTAGAATCGTTTCAGGGCCGCCCCGGGGCTGAGGGGATGCTCAGGTCACCCCTCTGGGCTCAGGGGTCTCCAGGGACATTTGGAACTCCGTAAAAATGGTCCTTCTGAGCCAACTCTCTCATCTCAGGGGGCAGCTTTTAATGTGCGAGTTTGAAGGCCATTCATCCCCCTTCCAGTTGGATTGTTGTGCATTTTACAGTGCACAGACCAGACCAGACCTGTCCTAGACCAGACTGCAGCTTCCCAGACCAGTAAGCAATTCCAGTGGATCACGGAGCAGCAGACTCAGGTATCAGAGTAAATCCTGTGCTGGGGAAGTCACCGTGCAAAATTAACTGAAAGACTCTGGAATTCCTTTGAAATTCATAGAGTAGGCAGCCCGACAATGAACTTCCTAAAGGTGCTCCCAAACAATTGTTAATTATTCGGAAGAACCAGCCGGGGCTGACAAAGCCTTATCTCTGCAGCCCCCGCGGTCGTTATCTCCCATGGAGCCGCACCAGGGGGAAATTTTGGAAAGCAGCAGGCTCCAAGCCTGCGCACGGCTGATTATTTCCACAGCTTTGAAACACTTCGCTGAGACACCCAAAAAAAAAAAAAAAAAAAAAAAAAGTTATAGGACTTAAACACTGAAAAAAACACAGCCTTGGAAACGTGTCGCGGGGATGACAAGCAGCCTGGCTGGAAGCAGAGGGGTGCGAGGGGAACATGCGGTGGCTGGGGGAGCCCCTGGCTAGAGAATTCCGTGTCCCCCCGTGTCCCCCCCCAATATGGCAGCACCGCCCGAGCCCCCACGTGCTCCGGTCCCGCCGGCCCTCCCCGGGCCCCGCCCCCGAGGCGTGGCCACCGCATGGACCCCGCGCGGATTGGCTGGGCCGTGAGCTGGCGCCGCCCCCCGGTTCTCGGGGCTCGACCGTCCCGGCCGCTGATTGGCCGAGGCGGGCGCTGGCCCCGCCCCCCCGGCGCGCGCGGAGCCCGGGGCTCGGCGGGGCCGTGCCGGGAGCGCGGCCAGTTCGGGACCCGCGGCCGCGGCCGCTCCGTCCGTCCCTCCGTCCTTCTGTCTGTCCGGCCGGCTGTCCCGCACCCACAGCCCCAGCCCGCCTGCCCCTGCCCCGCCAGCCCCCTCTGCGTCCGTCCCCGTG